AAGCCCCCAGCCCCGGGGATGGGTCCTGAGAAAAAGGGCCGACTGGGATTGAGCAGGACAGAAGTGCGGCCCCGCGCTGTGCGTCTCTAACGAGCTCCCAGCTGCTGCCACGTTGGCCCCTGGACCAGAGAGAAGGGCCGGAGCGTGCACCCGGACCCTGCTGGCTGGCAGCGACGTCCTCCGCCCTGCCATTTCTTCATCTGCGAAGCGGAGTTAAAAACGACTTTCCCAGGTTATCGGGTCGGTAACAGATTATATATCAACTACTTGGCCCAGTACCTGGCACACAGTGAGGGCACAATAAAAGGAAGTTGTTTTTACTGTTAAAGAATGTAACAGTCCTTTGCCTAGGTCCTTGGTGGGGAGACTATTTTTACTAGATAGGCATTCCTGCTTTTTGAAGTTTACATCCCATGACTGACTTGAAGAACAGATCAGTAAAAACTGTTAGCTCCAGTAAGGGCAGCCCAGCTTCCTGGCTGGGGGCCTGGGCCCCGAGCTCAGCCCCGCCACGAACTCACCATTGCCCCGCTCGTTACCCTCTGTGCCCATGTGCTTTCTTGTCTGCACGGAAGGGGCGATGAGACTCCCTCACAGAGCTGTTCTGGGGGAAATTAGTACCCGCCATACAGTGACTGCGCAGGGTCTGCCATCTCTTACCCGGCTCCTGTGGAAGTTGAGCTGGTCAACAGTCCTGAAGGTGATGGAGGTGGCCGCACAGGGGTTCTGCCCCCGGCCAAGTCTGCCCCCTTCAACCTGACTGTGCAGGGACAACCTGCTGGCTATTCCAGGAAGGGGCCTCTCTGGGCAGGAATCCTATTAATGACTTTTTGGCCACAACTTCTGCTTTATTTTGGACACAGAGAGGTTGGTTGTAAAGACCGATGGATCAGGCAAGGGAGCAGACAGGATTTCTCAGCAAGGAGACTCTAGGCAGGGGACTGACAATGTTACACAGTCACTGAGGTGGATGTGGAGCCGATCCTTTTAGGAGAGGCAGAGACCTTCAGGATATAAGTACTATGCTTAGCATGTAAGTATATATATGTTCACTGTCTAGTAACCCTGTACGTTGTTTTAACAAACCACCCTAAACACAGGTAATAACCATTACTATTATCCTAATTCTGTGGGTTAGGAATTGGAAGGGCACAGGGGGCATAGCTCGTCTTTGTTCCACGGTATCTGGGCCTCAGCAAAAAGACTGGACAGCTCAGGGCCACTCAATGGCTGGGGTCACTCGGAGATGTCTGTCCTCTTCATTTATCTGGCGTTCAATGCTGGCTGCTGGCTGGGACCTCAGCTAGGGCTGAGAAAGGTACACGTGGCCTCACCATGTGGCCTTGGGCTGCCTCACGGCATGGCAGCCTCAGGCTGGGCTAACTTCTTACCCGGGGCTCTGTTCCAAACGTGAGTGTTCCAGCTAACAAAGCAGACGCAGCCTTGCCTTTTAAGATCTAGCCATGGATGCCACACAGCATTATCTCAGCCACATTATATCAGTTACAAGGGAGTCATGAGCACCCCAAATTCAATGGGTGGAGGATGAGACTACCTCTTGATGGCGGAGTGGCAAGGTTCTAGAGGAGCATGTGGATCAGGAGACACTGGCTCGATTTTTCGGGCCAGTATCTGTCACATAGGCTTCCCTGGAAAAAGACAATTTGTTAAATGGAGGAGTCAGGACCTCTGGCCCTATTTGGGAGTTTTCCTGAGGGCCTCATACCATATAAATGGCACATACAGGAATATAATAACGGTGCAGCAGGCATTGTTTTAAGTGAACTCTTTTAATACAACACCCTCTGAAGCAGGTACTGTCATTATCCCCAGTTTACAAACGAGGCACAAGGATGTGAAGGAACTTGTCCGAGGTCACACAGCCCCTGAAACACTGCAGCCAGAACCACGGCAACCTGGCGCCCGAGCCCGCACACTTAACCGCTGCACCACCTTCCCGCTCCGTGTGCACAGCTCACTCCTCCTCTCGGCCACGGCCTGCTCACCGTGCACCCACCACCTGCCAAGCGCTGTGTGGGCGACCACGTGGCAGTGGGGAGAGCAGATGGAAAGTCCTAACCTCAGGGCGCTCACAGAATCCACACGACAACCAAAGGAGATTGATTTTTTGGAATCAGCATTTTACAGGGCAATTTTAGAGGAAATAAATGATGACTGTTATTGAATTAATTATTCATGGAACCCTATTTAAGGCAGCTGAAAAGGATCCAGGAAGCCCTGTCTTTCTTACGGTGAGGGCTCGGGCTCGGGCTCAGAAGCCAGGCTGCTCTGGGCTCCACCACTTCCTAGCACGTTAACCGTGGGCAAAGTTCTCTCACCTCTGTGACCCTGTTCCCTCACATATCAAACGGGGTCCCAGTACCTACGTGTGAGGGCGCGGAGAACAGGCCAGGAGCTGGCAAGCCCTGGGGAAGGGTACGATCATCCGCTGCAGGGCTGGCCTTGTTGCACAACGTGACACAAGGCTGACACCTAGTGGCCGCCTGTTGTGGCTGGTTCCTTACCGGGCAAAATCACTCCATCCAAATAGGCCCATTTTCTGTGACGTGATACCTCAGCTCTGGACCTTCCTCTATCAGACTCTGAAGTGCGTGCATATTCCACAGACCACTAGAATAACGTTCTTTTGCCCTGGGAAGCAATTTATACATATACATAGGGGGAGGGAGAGAGAGAATCCCAGGCGGACTCCACACATAGCACGGAGCCCAACTCGGGTCTCCATCTCATGATCCTGAGATCACGACCTGAGCCAAAATCAAGAGTCGAACGCCTAACCGACTGAGCCACCCAGGTGCCCTGGGAAGCAACTGCTTTAAAATGAGATAACATGCAAGGTACAAAGCACAAAAACTGCCCAGGAGAAAACCATGACAATTTTTTGAGCACTTAGGTGCAACCTCGGCCTCACAACCACTGTCTATGTTGGTACTAGGGTCCCCACTTTATAAATGCAGGAACTGGGGCTTGGAGAGGTTCTGCAGCTTGCCCTGGGTCACAAAGCTTGTGATAGGGGCTAGGCTCCGAACCCGAGGTCTGGGCCTAGGGCTGGAGCTCCCCACCTGCTCTCCGCCCACTCCACACCCCCTGGCCCCTTTCCTGCTGGAGACCGAAGAGTGGCAGCATGGGGAGCAAGGCGGCTACTGACGGGCAGAACTGGGCCTGCTAAGGCAGAGGCTGCAGATCAGGCACATCCCGTGAGAGGCCTGCCATGCGTGGCACTGGGGACCATCCCAGGAGACTGGACACTGGGATTCTCCCAGGGAGCAACGGGGAGAAGAGGCCAGAGGTACATGTTACCTCCGATGCAATGGAAATTGATCAGAAGGCCGATTCCTCCAAAAGGAGGTTCTCTGGGTCTCAGCCATCGGCACGCTTATGGGATTTGGGGCACTTCTGTGGAAGAGGAAGATCAAGAGTGGCTTATGGGAAAGACACACATACTTGTTAAGAAAGGCAGAATACAGGAATATATAAAGTGAAATTTTGAGTGTCTTTATCTGCCTTCTCCTCAACTCACTGCTCAGAAGTTCACGGTATTTGTCATGTATCCTTCAGCTTTCTATTCCTTTCAAATATCCCACATCTCCATATGGATGCATATGTTCTTTTTTAAAAACAAAAATAAGGTTATTCGGTTCATACTGGTCTGCAAGGTCTCTTTCCCTTAATGTCCTCATTCTACAAACTGGCAATTAAAATATGTTAGAGCTTCGTGTTTCTAAGAACCCTTTGCAGATTACTTTGAAGAACAAAATCTCCAGGTTAGGCATATAATCACCCCTGTAACTTTGTATGTCACATCTCTGCCTCCTCAGCCTCCACCACTTAGGATTCAGCAGGGATGTGGACCTGCAGGTGATGAGTCACAGGAAATCCTTGTGGGATTCTGCCCTGGCAATTTCCCCCTCCCCCGCCCATCCCTGACTTTCTCCACAGAGGTGGTAGGAGGGGAGGTTGCCTGTGTGTTCTCTCAATTGAGCACAAATACACACCGAGCACCCTTTTCTTCCTTAGTTTCATATTTGTCAGGAAAGGCTGATGATTTCCACGTGCCCTGGGAAGGGGTTCGAAATACCCCCAGGAACTCTCAATGCTCACCACCATTTGTAATCAAAAAGGAACACAACCTTAAGCCTTAAGGGTGAGGAGGTCCAAGGAGAGTGTTTTCTCCCTGATGACAACAGCAAGACTTTAGAAAATATGTAACCAAGTCAAAATCCTTTTTAAAAACTGAGGGCCCTGAGGCGCCAGGCTGGCTCCCTCTGGAGGGCATGGGCTCTTATTTCCGGGCGGGTCATGATCTCAGGCTCCCAGCGGCTCTGAGTCTGCTCTCTCCCTCTCCCACTCCCCCTGCTTGTGTGCCCTCTCTCGCTGTGTCTCTCTCTGTCAAATAAATAAATAAATCTTTTTACAAAAATAAAATATATAAATAAACAACATCTTTTTAAAAATGTTAAAAAAAAAAAAAAGTTGGGGGCCCTGGAGCACCTGGCTGGCTCAGTTGGAAGAGCATGCATCTCTGGGTGCGTGAGTTCGAGCCCCATGTTGGACAGAGCTTACTTAAAATTTTTTTTTTTAATTGGGAGCCCTTGTACTGCTGCTGAGTGACCGAGCCCGGGCTCTGTCACCTACTCACTGACTCTGCGCTGCTGACTGGCACAGTCATCCAGCATTTGCCTGCGGTCTGACGCCCTAACACTGCTGTCGGTGGCACAGTTACGGACACTGAGTGGGTTTCGCAAGGCCAGCGGAGGTCAGAGCCACACGGAATTCACAGTGAACGGTGCCGCCCGACAACGCTGTCCCCGCACACACGCCTTCTTCCCGAGGGCTCCTGTAAAGCCACGGGGCCGGGAGGTGGCTCGGGCCACCGGGTCCCGCCCCCGGACGGCGAAGGACCGTTCCCGGAGCGGCCGCCAGAGGGCGCGTGCGGCGCGGCGGCGTGGGGCTTCGCGCTTTGTCCCCCCGCGCGGCCCGTCGCCCCGCGCGGCGGCGGGAAATCCGACGGGCCCCTCCCGGCCGCCGCCTCCTTCTGGCCTCGCGCGCCTGCCCGGGTCGGCCCTGCTGTGATGGAGGAGGAGGAGGAAGGGGGTGGCGAGGAGCAGCAGCAATTCTCCTACCGACAGGTACAGGAAAGTCGGGTCCCTGCCGGGCTGGGGGAGGACGGCGTGGAGCTTCTGGAGAGGGAAAGGCCCCGAGGCCTCCGCCGGGCGCTCTTCGGGGCGCGGTCCCCGGGGCGGGTCCCCCGGGGCGTAGGGCGCGCTCCGGCCGCCTGCGCCTGCGCCAACTGGGCTGCCGCGGGGGGTGCTGGGAGGCGGTCTCCCGGGTAACGCGGGTCGGAGTGGGGCGGGGGGCCCCCCCCCCCCCCCCGTCTGGCTGGGACAGCCGCGGTCTCCCTTCTCAGGGCTGTAGTGAGAATAGGGTGTGCTCCCGGGAAGGCGATCCAGGCCCAGCACTTAGCGCGGGGCCCGGCCTGCGAGCCCGAGAGCCGGCGGCTCCTTCCCGCCTGGGTCCCAGCCCCGGCTCCCCCGCCCCAGCGGCGCGCGGCTCTGCTCCCGCCCCGCTTTCCCGCACGCGGAATCCGGGTGGTCCGAACTCCGCCCGGGGCGGTTGCGGGCCCCGCCGGGAGCAAGCACACGGGGCAGAGTCGTGAGAACGAAGAACCGTAACGCCCTGAAGAGGTAAAAAGCAAGAACCAGGGCGGCCACCTCAGAGAGAGTGGCCTGAAGAGCCGGCAGTGAGCTCAGCTGCCCGGGTTCCGTCTCAGAGCTGTTAACCCACCGCCTGCCTTTCTTTTGGGAAGCGCAAGGTTTCAGGAAAGGTTGCAAGAATAGTGCACTCAGCAGCCATATGCTCCTCACCTGGATTCACCAGTTAACACTTCGCTGTATTTACTCCTTCGCTCTCTTTTTTTTCTGAATCATTTGAGATTTAATTGCAGGTACCTTGACACCTTCCCTTTAAGTTTTAGTACTTTCGTATGCCTCTCCCAACAACAAGGGTATTTTCGTACATAATAACCTCAAGTATCACCACTCAGAAACTTTAATATTGGTAAAATCCTATTCTCTGACGATCAGTCCATATGCACATTTCCCCAGTTGTCCCAAAGCTGTTTCTTCTTCTGGTCTTTTTTCTTTCATCCAGGATCCAGTCAAGGGGCATAACTTGCATTTAGTAAGATCCTGTCTCTGATCTTCCCTGGAACAGTTCTCCACCCTCTGTTTTTCCTGACATTGATGGTTTTGAAGAGTCCGCTGATGGCAAAGGTGTGGTGGGAGATAAACCCTGAGAGCCGAGGCTGTCCTTTTCATTTTTGTATTCTCAGCCCCTAGTGCAGGGCCTGGCTCCCAGTGGACCGTCCATACTTAACTGAAGAAATGAGTAAGGCTGCAAAGATGGGCTGAGAAATTGGTGAGCAGGTTGAGGATCCCGCCGCCCATTCATCCAGCTGTTCTTGGTGCTGGGTGGACAGTTGTCGTGAACAAAACTGACAGGGTCCTGCCCTCGAGGAATTTGGATCTGGGGATTGAGGCTCGAAGTGCAGTGTTGTCTGCAACATTAAAGAAGGCACGGGCACTTGGCCCTGTCCAGGAGGCGTGCAGACGAGGAGGGATAAAAAACTTCTGGGACGTTCCGAAGGCTCCCTGTCCTGTTCCGCTAATGACACCCCCACGTGTACCTAAAAAAGATGACCCTGGGGGCTCTTTATCCCTCCCAGGGTGATGGTCCCTTTGTCTCCTCCTACCATAGGCCTCAACTTACCTAGTCATTTGACATCTGAAACTAAGAAAGGTCGTTGCCCTTGCTTATCGGCCTCTACCCTGGGGTCCTGGACCTGTTTCTGCCGTTCCTCCTCATTCTGTTTCCGCTGTGAACACTTGCTGTTTGGGGTTCAGCTGTCCCCCTGTCCAGTTCAGGTCTATCTCCAGCATAGAGAAGGAGCACACCCAGGGGTGCAGTAAGTTTGTTGACAGGAGACTCAGATTTTGGCTTGGCTTTGTGTTGCTTCTTTGCTCCTCTGCATGGGAAAGCTATGCTCTTCAGTATCTACAAGGGTTGCTAAGGAACAGTGAGGGTCCTGGTGAGGTGGGCTAGCAAGCCAGCAAATCAAAGGAGGGTCAGTCGCGTCCTCACAGGCCTTTCCCAGCGTGGTCCTGAGCGTTTGTCCTTTGTCACATGTAGGCCTGGGGCTGGCAGAGACTTGCTGCAGAGGGATGGGATCCTTTTGCATTTCACTGGAGTAACCTGTCAGGTTTGTCATTGTTCCCTGAGCACCTAGCATATGCCTTTACTCAGTAGGAACAGGTGCACATTTGTGGAATACCTGAGTAAAGTCATGCAGATACCTTGCAAGTGCAAGTCTGACTTTTCTCCCCGCTGACCTGCCATTGTAATTCCTTATCTTTACTTGACCTAAATCATAACCGTTAACAAGGAAGTAATGTTTCTCCAAGTCACACTCCAGAGGGCCTCGTTAATTTATTAGTACACTTGAAAAGTCTTCAGCCATTATGGACAGTGCTGAAGGAATTAGGCTGAGCAGACCCCTCTCCTTGGTCTTAATTGTCGAAGGTGTGGAAAGCTCTTCTTTGCAGCCTCGCCCACGAAGTATTTGGACTCTTTGCTGCAGAGGCTGAAAGCGGCTGTCCACTACACTGTGGGCTGTCTCTGTGAGGAAGTGGCATCGGACAGAGGGATGCCGTTCAGCAAACCAGCCATCGCCGCAGTCTCGGAGCTGACCTTCCGGCAGTGCGGTACGAAGCCAGGGCCTTCCTCTCTGTGGGTAGAAATCCCCCAAGTCGCTTTTGTGCGGGAGAAATGTGTGGCCGGGTGCTGTGGCTCGTCCCACCAACAGACGGAGAACATTACCACCAGGTGCTAGTCACGAAACATTTCTTGGCTGTAAGATTCAGATGTTTTATGGAAACATCTATTTCTAGTACCTAACACTGGGCATGAACCTGTTTGTTTTACTCTGTTTTAAACTGCCTGGAACATTAGGCATTACATTTTTATCTCATTGCTTTATAACATTTTTATATCGCCCATGCCATGGCTTATATGACAGCTGAGCTTGGACATTGGTATCTGCCTGACGTCCGAGGAAATTAATGTCCTCTCAAGCCCTAACGTGGAGCAAAATTTAACGTTTAGAGTTAGTTTCATGGAAGAAGAGCTGTGGCCACAGTTACCACAATCACGACAAGGAGGTCCTAATGAATAAATCACACAGCCTAGGCTAAAGGCTCACAAAACAAACCAGCCAGCAAAAAGGACAGGAGCTAGAGGCCCCTGTCCAGGGATCAGGCGGCCCGAAGCGCATCCACCCAGCATGGAAAGGGCTTGTTGTGTTCATCACCGTATGGTGAGAACTGAGGTTGCACTTTCCCTCCTACTGAAATAAGATTGGCAGGAGGGTAGCTAAAGCATGTCTTTTTCTCTTTCAGAAACTTTTGCCAAAGACCTTGAAATGTTTGCCAGGTGGGTAAAGAGCTTGCGTATCTGCCGCTGTGTGTGTTCACGTCCTATTCACACTCTCCATCTGGTGGTGTATTTCGGGAGAGCTTTAGTCTTTTTTTTGGGTGTGTGTGGATTTATTGGAGGCTTCTCTCTCATCATGGTTCTGCCAGAATATAACATCTGCTTTAATCACGTCCATTCAGGCTTGGTTTGGCATTTTTTTTTTTTTTAATGTCTTCTGAGTACTTTTTGTTCAGTTCCTGGTTAAAAAGGTATGAAGAACAGCTCGAAGGCTGTGACCCTGCAGGGCGGTGTGGGGCACGCCCGCACTGGGTGCCCGGCGGTGACCGCTGGTGGGTGTCGGGGCAGTGACAGCACCCAGCGCCCGCCGGCACTCAGCCTCAGGTCCACAGCGTCTGTCACCCGAGAAACACACTCCTTGAAAAGTGGGTGACTTGCTTTCAGCGGGGAAGCTTGAGCTTTTACAGGTGATTTATGCTCATCTCTTCAATTAGTACCTCAGGTAATTGAAAACAATCGCACAACGAATTGCTTTTATGAAGCAATTTGAATGACTGAGGCCGGAAGGGGCTAAAGCTTTCCACTTTGCTCACACTGCTGATTCGGTGCCAGTCTCTCCCATACCCCGAGCTTTTCACCTTGTTCCTGTTAGCTCTCTGTTGCTCGGGTGAGTATTTTGAATGAATTAAAGCAGTAGGTTCTCAAAGGGCAGACTCTAAATCTTTCCTATCCCTGTGTATATGAATCCCTAAAAACTGCTTAGCATCGCCAGCTTGGCCAGAAGGGATGAGATAATACTATGGGATGCTAACAGCTCCTGTGGTGTGTTCGTTGTTCATTCAGGTGGGGGCTCCTTACGTGGCGCCCACTATCTCCCCCCGAAGCCGCGCGTCTCTTGCGAAATACATTTATCACCCCTCTCGCCACGTCTTTCCTTTTTTCGGAAAATACAACTTCTTTTTATTACAAAGGGTGGCACAAAATGTAAATATGTAAGCACATGATTATTTGATTTGAACATAAAGTTTATCGACATCGAGCCAGGTTTCTCCATCTCAGCACCGCTGGTGTTTTGGACCGGCTCATTCTGGGCTGTGGTGGGAACTTGTCGGGCGCGTCTTAGGGTGTTTCTGGGCCTCTCTGGCCTCTGCCTGGTTAGGTGCCAGCAGTAAGCCCCCAGTCGTGACTTTTCCTGCCATTTTTGTGTTAGCTGTGGGAAAAGACAACAAATGTTTTTAGATGCTTCTGTAAAAATACTGGGAATAAGAATGAAATTGGAAATGTTTAGCATTGTAATACATTGCGCTTTCAGGTACTCTGTGTTTCATGATTACGTTAAGAGGTTGATTTTCTTTTTTTTTTTTTTTTTAAGATTTTTATTTATTTGACAAGGAGAGACACACAGAGAGGGAACACAAGCAGGGGGAGTGGGAGAGGGAGAAGCAGGCTTCCTGCTGAGCAGGGAGCCCGATGTGGGGCTCGATCCCAGGACCCTGGGGTCATGACCTGAGCTGAAGGCAGACGCTTAACGACTGAGCCACCCAGGCGCCCCGAGGTTGATTTTCTTTTGCTGGGTACTTGTTGGGTGGGGGAGAGCCGTGTGTCACTTAGAGTGTAAGTGCCCCAGGGAAGGGCATCATCTCAGGGGGTCTGTGTAAAGGCTGTCTCGCTGCTGTTGTCTAAGTGAGAGAGGCAGAGGCTTACTGATGAAGCAATGTCTCCCCTTTCTCGTGTCCAGGGGTGTCTTCCAGTGCTCTTCACGCTCCCCCCCACCCCGAACCCTGAGCCAACGCAAGTACGGATTTTCTTCGAAGACTCGTCCTTTGTCTAATTTCACTCTGATCTTCAAAATACTTCAGTTTGCTGTCATATATATATAAAATCCTGTTTTAAAGTTTATCTCGGGGTGGGGGTGAGGGGGCTCCCCACATCGGGCTCCCTTCTCAGCAGAGGGAGTCTGCTTCTCCCTCTCCCTCTGCCTCTCCTCCCTGCTCATGCTGGCTCGCTCTCTCTCAAATAAATAAGTAAAATCTTAAAAAATAAAGCTTATCAGGATAAAATTGATATTCCCAGAAGGTCAGCTTTGTTTATCCTGTGGCTTTGTGTTTTCCCCGAGGCCACTGTCTTCTAGAACTGTGAGTCCTACAAGGAGTCTGAAGGACTGTTTCAGGCCAGCTGTATATTAAACGGTCTTTGTCAGCTGGCTGGGAACCTAACCGATATTTGTAACATTGTTTCTATGAGAAAATGGGTTTAAATTTGAAATAATTCACCTGTAAACTTTGGAAAATCATCTCCCAATTTAAGTTGCGAATTTCCTTTACTTTGAAATCTCTAGTCACCTGATACCGTTAACATGTTAAAGATGCCACATTTTGAAGAAGATAGATATTAGACAGTGAATAGATTTAGGAACATTTTGGGAATCCTCTTTAAAACCTGTGTTGCTAAAAGTGTTACATGAAAAACTGCTTTGTAATTTTCCCTTGGGTAATTTTCTGGAGTCAGAGGTTGGGCGACTGCCTTCGGCTCGGGTCATGATCCCAGGGTCCTGGGATCGAGCCTCACGTCGGGCTCCCTGCTCGGCAGGAGGCCTGCTTCTCTCCAAATCCCCCTGCTTGTGTTCCCTCTCTCGCTGTCTCTATGTCAAATAAATAAATAAATAAATAAATAATGCAAAAAAAAAAAAAAAAGGTTTGATTTAGGAGAGTCTCTGACGTGCGGCGGCCGGCGTCGGGTATGCCCGCCCCTCCATTTAGGGAAGGAGCATTAAGACGTGGTGCAGAGGTAGCACATACCAAGCTGCGTGGTGGCGAGGCTTGGCTTTGCTGTTTCCTGAACGCTTCCTTGTGAACAGATCCACTGACCTTACTCTGTAAACAGCTCACTAGGCTGCCTCCTTCTGCTTGTTCTCTTGTGGCACTTTGTGAAGAATGTGAAAACCGGCCGAGCGGCCCGATCGTGTGGCTGAGGGCCACTCTGTGTGCATGGCGCCTAACCGCCTCCCCCGGTACACCTGTGGCCCGGCTGCCTACCTTGTGGCTGCACTGATGTCCCCTTCTGACTCTCCCCTTTCTCTCCCGGTCCTTGCGGATGGCCGATTAGAAGTCGCCTCCTGATACGGATACTGTCGGCGCAGGCAGATGCTGTCAGTCGTGAGGAGATGACATGTGCCATCTGCATATTTATTTATTTTTTTTAAATTTTTTTATTGTTATGTTAATCACCATATATTACATCATTAGTTTTTGGTGCAGTGTTCCATGATTCGTTGTTTGTTCATAACACCCAGTGCTCCATGCAGAACGTGCCCTCCTCAATACCCATTACCAGGCGCCATCTGCATATTTAGTGGGAGGTGAAGGTTTAATTCGGCCAAATTATGGAGTGTAATTTCTGTGTGATTTTCTTGTTAACGGAACAGATATTTGGGGAGGACTGTGTTTTGGCCACTCTACTCATTGTTAAGGATACAAAGATGCCTACTTCTGTGCATAAGGCTTCTACTTATTTTTGGAGGAAGTGAGAAATGGCAAGAAATGGTGTAATTAGAGCAATAAATTATTGACTGTAGCTTATTATCTGAAATTACCTTTTAAAGCAAAGATAAGAGATTGGAATGAGATTTTGAGTCCAAGTTGTGAGCAAGACACAGACTCCAGTTTAAAAGATGTTCTTTGTTCTAGCTTGTAGCTCGGCTGTGTTGAGGGAGTGCATTACCTCCTTGTTGGGAAGTGGGGTGTAGGGGGACATCTGCCTGAGCTGCTTCCTGTAATTTAGCCCTCGGGAACTTGGGATCTTTGTTCTTCTACTTCACATCTGTTTAAGCAGAGGCGATCTTTGTGTTGTTTGATATTGTGCCATTTTCTCTTTTCACTAAAGGTGTGTGCAGACGTGCTGTGTGGTGTTTACTGTGACCATTGTGCCCAAGCAAGTCCCTGCTCAGGCACCCATGGCCTCGGGCGGAGGTGGACAGATGGGCTGCTGCTTTCCTCGGTCTCTTTATTTAATTAGTATCTTGGCGAAGTCACTTCACTCATTTTTATGTCATTGTTGCTTAATGAATTTAATCTAAAAAGATGGGCTTCTTAGAGAGCCTTGCTAGTTTGGAGTCTGACCATGAACTTTTGGGTTTCATCAAAATTGGAAGTGATACTAAACATTTTGGTGAATTGTTCCTGCCCTTTCTACAGACACGCGAAAAGAAGCACAATTAACACCGAAGATGTGAAGCTCTTAGCCAGGAGGAGTAATTCACTGGTGAGAGATGAATTTCTTTCCTCACTCCCCTTTCCCATCAGAATACATTATTCCCAATTAATCACTCGCAGCCATGAAGCGATTCCCCAGGGCACCTTGCATTAAAAACGAGAGACGGTTGAACCATTCAGACCTGCCCGCAATTTATAGTCTCTCTTTCATCATGACGGATCTCGCTAAGCCAATTTGAAATTTTCTAATCAGCACTCTCTGGATTTCATAATTTGCCTTTTCCGTAACATCTCAAAACTTTGGCCCCGTGTTCCATTTACAGCGTGGTGTCAGAGACAGGCCACAGGCTAGAGCGTGTGGGGAGAGTTGTGTTACGGTGCCCACGGCTCTGCTCTGATGGGCCAGGTATGGAGGCAGTGTCTGCACAGGCGGGGTGGGCAGGAAAGCGAGCATGTTCTCTGTCTTTCCAAAGAAATCTAGACTTCAGCTTGACCAGCCCTCATTTTACAGGTGATGCTGTGATCATCCCTGGCTAGTGGCCGTGACCAGGGGCAGACCCAGGGCGTCTGAGGTTTTCTGACCTTGTCTCATCCTAGCAGTGAGAACACTTTTCGTTCCCCACCAGGGTGGACCTTTGTCTCTTCTCTGTTCCATCTGCTGTGCCTAGAATAGGACCTGGCATACAGCAGGTGCTCAAGAAGTAGTTGCTAAATGAGTTTATATAGCAGTTGACAGTTTACAGTGGGCTTTTATAGTTACTATTTTACATATGTTATTTAAAACCTCACAGCCACCCTCTGAGGGTTTTTCATAACCCCATTTATTAGCCCGATTTTACAGGGGAGGCCGCTGGAGTTCAGAAACCTCGCAGAGCTGAACACGGAGCTCTTGGGTGGATTGCCGAACCACCAGTATTTACGAGCCTGGAATCTGGTGCTGCTTCCACTGGGCGGCACCGCCCCCCCGACCCCCCCCACCCCCCCCGCTCCGCTCTTCTGATACCCTCTCTCCAAAGTTAAAGTCAAGGCTAAGGATGTGATTCCTAAGGAAAACAGCTAAGGTGGCTGGCGGTGCTGTGCATCCGTGGAAAGACACTTCCCCTCTCTCCATCCGTTCTGTGCAGGTCATGGCTGGCAGCTGGCCGGCTTCGGTGAGCCCTTTCTTCCTTTGGCAAAGGAATGGGCAGTGCCAGTCATCTTAGAATGTTAGCTGGGAAGTTATCTGTTTATTGCACATTTGTTTACTTCCAAATACCGTTTTTACTTGGGGCTCTCAATTTCTTTTCATGACAGAGTTGTGGCTAAATTTACGCGTTTGATAAAATCCTCCCCGACAGCAGGGACCTGCGTCATTTACCCTGTATCCCTGGGACCTGGTGCATAGTAGCTGCTCCATGATGTCAGTTGGATACATTTAGGGGGCTGTTGATTGTAGTGGTGCTTGGTAGAGTATATTTAGGCCTGGCGTGCCTTCTGCACACTCCACATTTTAACCCTTTTGACTACTCAAGGAGCTCCTGCCTGTTGGGTAGGAGTGTGGGCAGCATTTGGTTGATTTCTGGAGTTAATTGCTTCTTCCAGGAAAAAGTGGAAGTTCTGTTTCGCTCTGAGGAATGTAACCCAGGCTTTTCCACTCAAATTCTTAGGGCGGGAGTGGTTAGGAGGGGTAGATTCCCCTCCGCTCCCCCAGGTTTATAGAGTGGCTTCACAACCAGATAAAACTTGTAATGCTTTAATTTTTTTTTTTTTTTGGTAGCTAAAATACATCACAGAGAAAACCGAAGAGCTCGCTCAGTTTAACACAGAACAAAAAGCAAAGAAGAAGCAGAAGCTAGAGGAAGACAACACAAGAGCAGTGGTGCCGGCAGAGGCTGCCGCCGCCAGAAAGGACGGTCCTTGACTCCATCGCCACCGGCCGGCTCTGTCCCTTCAGCAGGGGCGCGGCGGGGGGCAGGGGCTGCCACAAAGGGATCTTCGAAGGGATCAGTAGAGATTAAAATAAAAAGGCTAAGAGGCTTGCTGGGCTGTGTTCTGCGGTCATCGGCTGCAAAAGCCATAGCGTTGGAGCCGGGGACGCTCAAGCAAACACTCCGTGTCTCCCCTGTGCTAACACAGGAGTCCGAGGGGCCGAGGCTGGAAGTGGGGTCTCTTGCCATTAATAAGGTTGTGTCAGCAATGAGATGTGACTGACTTTTTCAAGCAAACATCTCAGTTACCTCTTCTTCTGCATGATTCTTCCGGCTGACAGTCCCTGAGAGACGAGTAAAGCTGTTCGTTTAGTTCTGTTGACCCACCGGTGTGGTTTTTAAGCCTGTGTCGCGTGTGACCACAAGGTAAATGTGATGCTCACAGGTGCACGTTTGGAAAGTGTCCGTTTTACTTTTTAAAGGTGATTTTCTCCAGAAACACAGTTTATATAACTCTTCTCCGGCGATTTTGTAATTTAACTCCGGTTCTACGGGATGGAGGTTTTGCTTGAGAGGAAACCCGCTCTCTTCCCAAAACGCTTCCCTGTGTGGTGCTCTGGTTCGGTCTGTGAGGGCCGGAGCTTCCAGTCCTGCTGTCTTCTCTGCGGGGTGTCAGGGGTGCCCAGGGCATGCCTTTCCCTGCTGGGGCAGGAGGGATAAGGAACGGGACTGCATTTGGGAGCCCTCTCTTTGTGCCAGGCTGCCCCGGGGCTCCACATGGGACCTCAGTGCATCCTCACGGCCTTGCGGGGCGGATGTGATTCTCCCCGTTGTACTGGCGTGCAGACCGAGGCTTGACGAGGTTAGCGCGCTGCCCGGGTCTGCTGACCAGTCAAGACAGTATTCACCCTGGGGTGAATCATCCTGTGCGATTCCATCTTTGGGGACAGATGGCAGAAAGGGCTTCTGGAGGGCCCTGTTTTTGTGGGCTGGCTTCCTCAGCGTCCTGGAAGCTCCTCTAAACGTGAACCTATTAACCACTTACCAGATGATGAACCAAATAAAGAAGGAATGTGTCCTGGTCACATAGATGGGGGCAACTTATATTTACAGTATTTGTCATTGTCTTGTGGCACCGGTTCCTCGAAGCGCTGGAAATAAAGGGCTCGTGGTGATGTGTTATTACTGAAATTAACCGGAGTCGGGGAACTTTGAAAGCATCCCTTTCTGCACACACCAGCAGCTGGAATGTGCACTGGCTCGCACACAGCTGATACTTTAAAACCTGGATGTCCCAGAAAGGCTACATCGGGACATGCTTCTTCCTTTACTGAATTGTGGAATTTCTGAAGAGCCCCTAGGGGTCATATAGTCCAGGTTCCCCATCACCTAGGAACTCCGGGAGAATTCTCCAGGGACAGAGAGCCCGTCCGGTCATGGGACACTCACCGTTAGGTTTCTTCTGTACTTAGAGAAAAGTCTTCCACTCTCTAACTTCTCTCTTGGTCCCATTTGGACCTTTAGAAGGAGCACTCTTTGTTTTTCAAAATAATTCTGGACTGAGTTTCTTTTAATCAAAAGTTCCCATTCGACATCTTTTCAGAAACACGTTCTTGCCTAAGACTTTAGGTTATCATCTCCCGGAGGGCAGGCTCTGGGCTGGAGAGCGTGATGGGTGGTGCCTTGTGCAGTGCGGGGCTTGCAGGAGGCACCCCGAGATACTTGGACCCTGGCATGTAAGATGTGCTGGTGAAATAAGTAGGAGCCCTTGGGTTGCATGGGTCTTGTTGGGGCTCCCCCATGTTGTGGTGTGCGGCTCTTCTCCTTACCCTGGGGAACAAGAAGGATTGAGGATGTCTTCTTAGGGCTGCCCGACGTGCGTCCTGCCATGGGTTCCACGTGGGCTGGGTGCTTTACGGGACCTTCTTCGGTCCTCACGACAGCTCTCTGACGGGGGCAGTAGGTACTAATTTTTTTTTAATCCCCATTATACAGATGAGGAAACAGGCCACAGAGAGGCCAGGAGCAAAGCCAGGGTTTTAGTCTTCAGCCCTCTCCTCGAAGGACCAAGGCAGGTGGCCGCCTGCCTGAAGGTGGCCATGAAAAAGAGGGGAGGGCATGTAAGCTTCCTCCACCCGTGGCGCCCTCCCTGGTGCACTGCCACTGCACTGGAGGCTGTGGGTCCTGCCCCCTGGCTAGGCTCTCCCAGCCCTGCTGGTGTGGGTGGTGTGGGTCCTTTGTACTGTGTATGCACTAAGTGCTCAGAGTGTCTAAGGAGTCTGTCCAGTAAAATCTGCAAAATATACCAAGGGTATAAGAAGCTGGCCGAGCTGCCGTGCATTTCTCATCTGTAAGAATCTCTCCGTTTGGGGGGGCACCCGGCAGGCTCAGTCGGTAGAGCATGGGACCCTTGATCTCAGGGCTATGAGTTCAAGCCCCACGTTGGGCATGGAGTCTACTGAATTAAAAAAAGAATCTCAATTTTTAATACCATTTGTGGGAATTTTCTTAGGCAAAAAAAATTATTTTTGTATAGAAAAAAAAGACGAAGCAACATGCAGTAATGAGCCATGACTCTTCAGGCCATGCCCGTTTTGCCTAGAATCTTTACACGCCTCTGCTGACATGGAATTTAAGGTGGAGATTTCCCTTGGGGGAGGGGTGTAAACCAGGGCTTTGGAAAACTGAAAGTCAGCCTTCACTTTTGGAGAGAGCGTCCGTTCGGTTGCTTAACTTCCACTTGGAACCATGCTGTGGCTCCTGGCCCCGTGTGGCAGGTTTGCGGCCCGTGACTCAGTTTACCGGCTCTCTCACAGTTGGACGAAGAGGGTCTGCGCATTTGCTTGTGGGATTCTGAAACTGGGACCAGGGAGGGGAAGCCGGGGGGGGGGGGGGGGGGGGGGGGGTGGGGGGGGGGACACAGAGGAGGACTCCACATTCTGGCCTTCCCGGGAAAGCGGGTCAAGTGCAGGTCATTGAGTAAGAAGTGGCCAGCATCCCCGGGCGCTCCTGAACCTGCCCTCTTGTCTGGGTTTTCAGCCTCCTTGCCTGCGATTCGGTGAGAGCCGGCAGGTGCCCCGAGCACCTCCCTGCACCCCTCAGCGCCCCCTTGTCTCTTCGGCCCACAGCGGAGTCCACCACACCTTACGTGGGCAGAATTTCAGCTTCTCAGCTCCTCAGCCACCGCTGATTTTATATTGTGCGAAATCACTTGGCTTTGTGCTCAAGGCTTCCTGCCGCCTGTGGGTGATTATGAGGAAGCGGGACTCCTTCAGGAGCGAGCGCACTGTCCTCCAAAGTAAGCAGATCCGCTCTAAACTCGGGAAACCATGGTGGCTTTAATGAAGGGGTTAACTCCGATCCAAAAGCGCTTTTGTGGGCTGAGGGCTTAGGCAGGTGCATCACTGCTTGAGGATAAGGGAAGAGGGGGTACAGGCTTTTGATAGGGACAGAGACAAAAAAACCAGCTGCAGGTGGAGCTTAATTAAAATGCCCCCCCCCCCGCCGCCCCTCCCCTCGGCTGCTCGACGAGACCCAAGTGCACAAAACACGGATTTCGGGGCCGCCCAAGGATAAGCGGCCCCAGAGCTGGAGAGAAGTGCCGGTCAGCCTGCAGGATGCCGCCGCCCCTCTTCCTGCTCCTACTCCTGCTCTCGGGGGCCACCGCGGCCCTGTCCCTGGAGGGTGGCCTCGCCGGACACGACAGCCGGGTGAGTAGTGACGGGGCCGCAGGCTAGCCCACTTTCTGGCTGTCTTGTTCCTTGGCCTTGTTGGCGCGGCTCGCCGGCAGCTCCAGGGCGAGCGTGTGTAGGACAGACGGCAGGCAGGGCTGACCTTTGTGGGGTGCCCCCCCAGCCGCCCCCCCCCGGCCTGCGATGTCCCCTCTTAGACCGCGGGGTCTTGTTTATCTCCAGTGGTCCCAACAACCTGCAGAGAGCTCCGAAACTCAAGGGGGGCGCTTCCCTGCCGGCGATCTCCACCTGCTCGTCTTTGAAACGTTAAGTGATCATACCAGTCTATTGCAGGGCAATCGTGGGGCCGCCGGCGGCCTGCGTTTGCCACACATGCTTCTAGAATCGTAATTTATAGGTATGGGACTCTTCTCATCGGCTCAGATTCATTGACATCATTACAGTTTCCGTCGTGAGAATTCGTAACTTTGTGAGGTGATTTATTTTTTTTTTCCATTTTGAAAAAGTTCCAAGAAAGAGTACATAAAGTTGGCCATTAAAAATGGATTTTTCTCTAAAATTACCAGATGAGTTTCAGACAAATCATTTATCATCAGGTTACTCCTAGAAGCTTTCTAAGGAATTTGAAAGAGGGGAATATCACGTCTCAATCTGATCTGTCTCAAAGAGTAATTTGTGGACATCCAGGAGTCAGACCAGGCACTTGGCGGCAGGGAAAATGATAGATTTCCTGACCTCGTCTAATGAAGGACCTCAGCCAAGATTATGGGCCAAACAGGCCGTTTTTTTTCCTTGACTGAAAATTCTTAACTTTTCCTTCTCTAACTAGAACAATTTCATTAAGGTGTTCTCTTAACTTCCTCATTCTTTATTTTTCTTTTAACTTTCTCATCTTTTTTTTTAAAAGATTTTATTTACTTATTTGACAGAGAGACACAGCGAGAGAGGGAACACAAGCAGGGGGAGTGGGAGAGGGAGAAGCAGGCTTCCCGCCGAGCAGGGAGCCTGATGCGGGGGCTCGATCCCAGGACCCTGGGATCATGACCTGAGCCGAAGGCAGACGCTTAACGACTGAGCCACCCAGGCACCCCACTTTCTCATCCTTTAAATGGAAATGTGATTTATTCTTCTGAAGCATCTTTTTTTTTTTTTTTTTTGAGTAAGGAATTGTAGATCTTTTAATGCTGGCTCAACCAGATGGTTGATTATTTTTCTTTCCTTTGTCCTCTGTGTCTTTTTAAAAGCATCTGCAGGAAGTGATAGAAATGAAGAAGAACAGCCTCTTGACTTTCCTGGCTGGGCGGTACCAGTGGGCCTCCCAGGTGGGCGCAGCCCCCTTCACAGGAGGGGCAGCTGGGGAGGTGGCCAAGCGGCAGGATGTCCCGCCCCCTCAGCGGTCCCTGCGGGAGAAGGCACCTTGCAAGGATTTCTTCTGGAAGACCTTCTCCTCCTGCAAATAAAACTCTACCCCTGATCACTCATGCAAAGGAGTGTGACCATGGATCTGAATCAAATGTATTAACAGCCGTGATCTTTCTTCTTCGCACAGTTGTCTTCTCCTTCCTGTGTAATTTGGAACGTTTTATTTGTTTATATTTTAAAATATTTTATTTTTAGTAATCTCCACACCCAACGTGGGGCTTGAACTCACAACCCCAAGATCAAGAGTCCCGTGCTCCACTGACTGAGTCAGCCAGGCGCTCCCCAAAGTGAACATTTTTGAAAAAGATTTCTACGTTTTCTGCTGTAGTGTACCCATTGGGCTTTCTTTTCACTTTAGTTATGTGCTTGGAAGTTCTGCCCTTGTCTCCTTTCCTTTGATTTAAAAAACAGTTAAAAGGCGACATATTTAAGAACCCAGAATAACATCTTATTTGTTTGTTTTCATAGAAATTGTCTAACTTAAAAAATATCTCCCTCGTATTAAAAGCAAATTTTTAACATTGTGCTCAAAGAGCAAAATGATTATTTCTTGTGTTTTGGCGAAAACCAATTTAAAAACAAATGTCACGCGCTCAAACATGATCTCATGTTCACATACTCATAAGAAGAGTTACATTCAAACCTTCTCTGATAAAATACCCATACTGGTTTTCATCAGTCAGTTAATTTTAATTTGTTACAGTTCTTTCATGGATCAGAGCTTCTACGTTTGCGTCGTGAAGAACGAAGTCTGTTTAAAGGCCTTATTTCAAACCAAGTACAGAGCAGGGCTGCTGTTGAGCCTCTGGCCTGCTTACCTCAACTTTTTTATTTTATTTTTTAAGATTTTATTTATTTATTTATTTGACAGACACAGCGAGAGAGGGAACACAAGCAGGGGGAGTGGGAGACGGAGAAGCAGGCTTCCCGCCGAGCAAGGCGCCCAACGCGGGGCTCGACCCTAGGACCCTGGGACCATGACCTGAACCGAAGGCAGACGCTTAACGACTGAGCCACCCAGGCGCCCCCTTGCCTCAACTTCTAATTTAAGCCTTTCAGGATCGCAGGAACCAGACTTTGTTCCGTGACAGATGCATACATGTAATTTTTTTTAAAAAAGATTTTATTTGAGACAGAGATAGAGATAGAGCGCGTGCACAACCAGCGGGAGCGGCAGGCAGAAGGAGAAGCAGGCTCCCTCCTGAGCAGGGAGCCCGATGCCGGGCTCGATCCCAGAACTCCAGGATCACAACATGAGCCAAGGGCAGACGCTTAACGAACTGAGCCATCCCGGTGCCTCCACATGCATATATGACTTGAATATCATTTTCCCATTCCCCAAGAATTTCCACAGAAGGGACAATGAGTGATGGCTACACAGGAGGGGAGTTCCTTTTTCTGTAATACAGGGCCGAGCAGCTGTCAAGGCCCATGCGGACCAGGATTTGCGGCTGCTCCAATGAAATGAGGAGTGAACAAATCACTGTTTCAAAACCTGAATCAAATCTTTAGTTCTCCCCCACAGCACCAAAATCCTTGCTTGATTCTGCATATTGTTTATGGCTCTTGAATGCCAGACTCTGAAGAATACTTCCAGGGTGAAGGTGTTTAGATACTAAACTTTAAAGTTCAGAGATTCATTACCTGGAGTCATGGGAAGTTTCTGAGGGTCAGGCCTAATATGGGGAAAATTGGCAAAGGCTGGCTGGAGGAGCATTGTATCTTTTCTTGGGATACCAGGGGAGAAGGCGCGGAGTATGACTGCTGACCGTTCCGTTCTGTTTTCTGCAGAGCTGAGCTCAGATCCATAATTACTAGCTGAGTAAAGTATAATGTGTTGGAGGACCTTAATAGATCCGAATTTCCAGACACAGCAGCTTGAAGAGACCAGTTATTGGGTTAGTGCACTGGTGCAAGATGCCAGCCTGGAAGGCCAGCTAACCTTCAGAACGTTGTCTTTTAAGATTTTCCTAGAAGAAAAGCATGCTCCTTGTTTTTCAATTTCTTTTTTTTTTTTTTTAAGATTTATTTATTTGATAGACAAAGACAGCGAGAGAGGGAACACAAGCAGGGGGAGTGGGAGAGGGAGGAGCAGACTCCCTGCTGAGCAGGGAGCCCGATGCGGGGCTCGATCCCAGGATCCTGAGATCAGGACCTGAGCCGAAGGCAGACGCTTAACGACTGAGCCACCCAGGCGCCCCTCAGTTGGGGTCATACATACACAGTCCTTAGGACTGGGGACTTATAACTTTGAACTAAGTAATATCTGAAGGATAATGAGGCTATGCTAATGAGACTGGCAGGAAATCTGTCACATCTAAGTTTACCTGAGTTCAGGGGGCTGAATAGAATGTTAACTGGCATCAATTGCAGGGTAGACTAGATTAATATGCTCATGATGAATACATTAGGGTGAAATGGGTATATTAGGGTAATTTTCTACCAACAGGTTTTGGGTAGACTTTTCTCAAAGTTAACCTTTCTGTAGTTCAATATAGACAAGTGTGTAGATGTGGTCATTGGCACCTGGACAACTTGTAATTCTTTCTTGTGCATTTCTCTTTTTAAAGATTTATTAATTTACTAGAGAGAGAAGCACACACGAGCAGGGGGAGGGGCAGAGAGGGAGAGAGAGAATCTCAAGCAGACTCTACGCAGTATGCAGAGCCCGAGGCAGGGCTCGATCTCACAACCCTGAGTTCATGACTTGAGCTGAAATCAAGAGTCAGACGTTCAACTGACGGAGCCACCCAAGCGCCCCTCTTGCATTTATTTCTAATATTTGGCACCAGAATGGATCCTTAACCGCTGGGGAAGAATTGAGTGTGACATAAACATTCGACAGAAATCCTTCATGGTATTCATATTTCAGGACTGTTGGCAAACCATTCTAGGCTTTAGGAAACTCAGAGCGGTGGGCTCATGGGAGACACTTAAAGACCTTGATTTAACAGCACCTGCTGAAGGGATCACCCACATCTTAGTAGCAGCTTCTTTAGTAGAGCTACGGATTCCATTTTTTAAAACTTTATTTAAATAATCTCTACAGCCAATGTGGGGCTCTAACTCTTTTTTTTTTTTTAAAGATTTTATTTATTTATTCATGAGAGACACAGAGAGAGAGAGAGCGAGAGAGAGGCAGAGGGAGAAGCAGGCTCCCAAGGAGCAAGGAGCCCGATGCGGGACTCGATCCCAGGACTCTGGGATCATGACCTGAGCCGAAGGCAGACGCTTAACCATCTGAGCCACCCAGGCGCCCTGGGGCTCTAACTCTTGAGATCAAGAGTCACATGCTCTTCCAACTGAGACAGCCAGGAGCCCCTAGGTTCTGTTTTGAACAAATCAGAAGAGGAAAAGTCAGGTAGGTATTAAAAAGAAGGAAATTTTTGGTTTCTAGATGAGAAAGGAAAAGGCAAAGGGCAGCTGGGCTACCCACTATTTCTAGCTTGTCATAACCCTAATAAAAGTAACGCTAATTTATCTCTTCCACTTATAGTTAAGTGATAAAAAATACATGTGCTTGTCTTATTAAAATAATTATAAACTGGGGGAAAAGCTAGATTTTTGGTGATAGTTCTTAGAACATGGTATTGGGGAATATTGAGGAAAATCCAGTATCTATGCATTAACCTGGTGGTTCACTTTCTTGTAATTGCCAAGTGTGTTCTTTTTTAAAAAGATTTCATTTTCAAGTAATCCCTACGCCCAGCACGGGTTGAACTCACAACCCTGAGATCCAGAGTCCCATGTTCTATACCAAAGGAGCCAGCCGGGCGCCCCTGCAAAGTGTGTTCTGATGTAGTTTGAGCAAACAGTGAACTTTGAGGTTCTGCAATCCGAAAATTCAAAGCATTTCCTGGGAACGAGTCTATCCCCCTCGTTGGAGGCCTTCCAGCGGGACGGAGGACCCCACTGTCAGAGGACTCAGGCAGTGGCTGGGTGTTCAGAACACATCACTTACAAAGTCCTTAAACACTTCAAGTAATACGAGACACAGCAAGATAATTAAGGCAAAACCCTACAAATAAAATAGAATGGAGAAAAAACCCTGAAGGCCAACAAATAAATAAATACATAAATAAATAAAAGAATAAAAGAAAAAATTGAGTGGATGGCTAAGAAATAAAACAGCTAAACGATCTGGTTAGTAAAGTCACATTAATCATTTTTGTAATTAATGCAGGTTTTCTTTTCCCAGACTACTATTATTTTATCCCTTTCTCTCTGGAAAATGAAAAACCCATTAGTTTTTTTTCCTTTTGCTTTTCCCCAGAAATTAAAGGTTGGTAAGTGGTAATTAGCACAGCTTCTGTCAAAGCCAATTGCCTAATGGGGACCGACATTTGACTTGAGTTGAAAGAATGGAATATGGCTAATGCAGAGTTCATTAGTCCCAGCTGCTTCCTCTGACATTCTTTTCTGCTACCGTAAGAACAGGCTGCCCTGCTCCCTCTCTCCTAGTTTTAGACATATTGCTGTGCTGCTCTGTTTCTATTCTGGAGGGCCTGGAGGCACAGGGGCGCGGGGAAGGTAAATGGCACCAGGGGCAACATAATGTGTTTGCAGCCTCACGTGTTACGCATTTTGGGCCCAAGTTTGCACACTAACATCTTTGCCTCGTAGACCCATAGACAGGGGCCTCATACAGCTCTGTCTCTGCTCTTCCCCCGGCCCCGGGGAGATAAGGGAAATGGCTCTCCTGCCTGGGCTAGATCCTGGCCTGCTCCTCAGACACTACTTCATTTAACCCTTTCATCCACTTTCATCCATGGGCTTGGCTCCCTCCAAGCCCACAGTACTTCCTCCATTATTCTATGCAGACAAGATGTTTGGTAGATCGGTTTCTAGTAGAGCATACCAACACCAACACCCAGGCCAGGCAACTAAAGCTCTCCTGTGTATCTGACAGACATAATTCGAGACAGTATTTTTAATTCAGTAGGGCAAAGATGGAGATGTTGATAGAACTGGTGAGTAGAGGTACCATTCTGTTTCTGGAATCCAGGCTTCCTTTACCACTGGGCTAACTGTACAGTGTTCACCGGGCTATTTGCTTCTCTTATACCACCAGCACTGTGCCTGCAGTCTGAAATCTATTGGCAATTATGTTGCAGACACAGGAGGTCTTTTCCAGTTTGAGTTGACTCTAACTTATTATGTTGGTGTAACAAAACCAGTGATCTGGATGTAGAAGGAAGAATGTGTGGACCTAAGAGAAAACACACGTAAGTGGGAAGATCACTGGGCACCCGGGTGGCTCAGTCAATTAAGCATCTGCCTTCGGCTCAGGTCATGATCCCAGGGTCCTGGGACTGAGCTCCACACTGGGCTCCCTGACTGGCAGGGAGTCTGCGTCTCCCTCTGCCCCTCTCCCCTGCTTGTGCACGTGCTCTCTCTCTCTCTAATAAATAAAAAAGTCTTCAAAAAAGTATGTTGGAAGAGCACTGGAATTAGAACCAGGATCCTGGCCCTCCAATTAGCCTTGTGATGTGGGGCAAATCTCTGCACCTCGCGGAGCACAGCTTTACTCATGTGTGTGAGATGACAAGCCACACCCTGGCCAGCTCACTCAGTTTTGTGATGCTCCAGGATGGTAAGTGCTAGCCCAGAGCAGACTGCAACCTGCTAGAAAAATCCCCAACTGGCATTAGTGCCCCTCCAGGGGCGTTCTGAAAGTGTGTGGGGATGTTTTCAGTTGTCTCGGGGCCTGCAGACCGCTATTGTCATTGAGCGGGTAGGGGGATGCGGGGGATGCCAGTTCTTCCGGCCACGTACCGGACGATTCTGCATAATGAAGAATCGGCCCATATCCTGCAATCCCGCGTGGCTTTTGAATGTCAGGCTGGACATTCATCTGGATGAAAATCTGTTCCAAATAAGAGTACAAAACCCAAAGACCAAGTTTGTACAGAAACAGGAAGTATATAAACCAGAAGGCTCTGCTTTGCACCCAGAGAGACTCACAGTCATATCACATGGAGATCAATTTAATGACCTTTCATCCCCCTACTGATAAAACATATTAGAAAACTGGAAACAGTCTCACAGTGGTAACAGATATAATTTCACAATTAGAAATGGCGAATTACACTCTCCATATGTCCCTGTGGTCTGCAAACTTAATATGCGCCTTTACACAAACCAAAAAACTCATTAACTTGAGACATAAGTTTGTGGCTATACATCAACTCTGTTCTGTCACCTTCTCAACCATCACTTGTGTTTAAAATTCTGCAGTTCTGGCTTCAGAACGAGGACAGTGAGTCTGAAATGCGACAATTTCTTTTCACTGTCCTTGACAATTTCTTTCAAACGGAGAACCTAAGAAGGTGTCATCAGAAGATGGGAGGTACTGTTGATGCAGCCTTGTCATTCAAAACAGGTGGCAGGGCTCTTCCGGAAGGGACAGGAGGCTGGTCTTCCAGCCTGTTCCAGGAGAACATGCTGTAAGGCAGGGAGGCCAGTAGGAAGGCCACAGCTTGGGGAATTAGGCTGACGGTATTTACTGCGAATAAGAACAAGGTCGCAGGCTTTCCAGTGGCGGCTATGTGGGCTCTTGTTTGGCTCGCTTGGGCTCCCGCGGTTCTCCGGACAGTGAGCTCTTCCTTGCTGACACGCTCCGGAGAGAACGCAGGCTCTGCACCTGCTGGAGACGCAGGCTGAGCTCCTGGTGACAGGCCTGCTGCAGCGTTTCTGTCTTCTTTAGGCCCCAGCTCAAGGCAACAGCGAGCGCTTTGGGGTCTTCCTTGGTGACCAACTGCGGCAAGAATAAGAACCACTGAGAACCACGACCTCTGCTCTCCTCACCTGCTGCTCTCAGGCTCCTGGGAGTTTCTTTGGGGGAGCAGGACCAGGCAGTACCAGCTTATGTTATGTCCTGGCGCTGAAATGCCAGAGTTATTTCGCATTCAGCGGCCACGGGCCTTTCCTTACCCTCCAATACTGCCAGGAAAGGATCTCTGGAAAGCCAAGTCCTCCACTTACAGGAAATGTAGCCCAGCCCAAGTCAACAGGTTTCCTCCCTCCCAGTTGACACTGGGGAGGTGCTTTGGACAGCGACAAGGATGAAGAATGAGAAGCAGCGCCCACTCTGATGGATTCGGCATCAGGCTTCTGGTTCCCTGGCCATGGAGCCAGCACGGGAGGACCCGCTCAGGCGTGCCTTTCACCATGATCATGTATGTGCCTCACTGACTACGGGTCTTCCTCAAGGGCTGATAGAACCAGAAGCTTGAGCCCTGCCTTGCCTCCCTGTCAGGTTTTGCTCGTTCCATAACCTGTTGTGCCCCAGAGAATAATGTTTGACGATCTGAGGGGGTGTACCCCGTTTTGTCAAGCCGTTTTGATATAGATTAAATGAGATGTTTCGCATATAACATGCAAGTGGGCAGCTGTGAGTCAGGGTCTGCAGAGGTGAAAAGCATTCTCGGACGTGCCTCCGCAGGCAAACACTGCACCCCTGGGGGGGAGTGGCTCGTGCAGCTCAGGGTCCCTGGGTCTTGCCCACCTCCAAATCCCGACTAGACAGACTCAGCTCTGGGGCCGGCTTCTCCTTCAGTGCAGTAAGGACCTGGCTGGTAAGGGTGATTTTGGAGGTGCTCTCGCGGTTACTCCCCGCGTCCACTGCATCCATCTTGTCACTGAAGCCAGCGCTGGCCTCTGCAAAGCAGACGTGAGACGGAGATGGCCCCACTGCCGCACACACAGCCCTCCGTCAGGCAGGACGGAGGCACGTGGTCTCAAGACGCCAGCAGCTGCGGCTCCCCCCTTGTTTGATCCCATTATAAACCATGGTTCTTTCCCCAGGAAAGGCTCTCCAGGCCCTCGGCCCTCAGGGTGACTCCCCTGGCCAGTGAGTCCTACCTTGCTGCTTTGACAAGATGCTGCCCTCCTTCTCCAAAGCCTGGAGGTAAAGCTCCAAGAGCTGCTTGGACTGTCGGGCTTCCTCCCTCTGGTCAAGTACCTGCTGGAGGGTGTTCTGGAGCCCCTGCACCGTGACGCAACTTTGGCATAGTTCCTGAGCCAGGTCTGAACATGGAACGTCAATGAGCACCTAACAAGCAAATACAGACTTTAACAAACCTAAAAATCTTTCAAAACAAAGTGGCCCCGACCCGTCCATGGCAGGCTCCCTCCTCCCTTCAGCAATCCGTGTCCTTGCCTCCTCTAGGGAACCCGCCCATGTTTGCCAACTACACTTCTGGGAATTTATTCTATGGACAAGCATGTGTGTGAGATGACACTGATCTAAGTTTTTTGTTGCACTGTCTGGACCAGCAGGACCGATGTCAACCCACAGATCCACCAACGGGGGGGCGACTCCTTAAATAAGTCACAGTATACACACAAAAGGGAATACTATGCAGTGGTAAAAAAGAACAAGTGTCTTTTAGATACTCATCTAGACTACTCTCCAAGTATTTTTTTTTATAAAAGATTTATTTATTTTAGAGAGAGAGCACACGTGGGCACATGAGTGGTGGTCGGGGGGCAGAGAGGGAGGGACAGAGAATCTCCAGCAGCCTCCCTGTGAGCATGGAGCCTGTAGCAGAGTGTGATCTCACGACCCTGAGATCACGACCTGAGCCAAAATCAGGAGTCAAGAGGCTTGACCAACTGAGCCACCCAGGCAAATATTTCTTTAAAAAAGAGTAGATATGCTTCCACTTGTGTAATATAGGGGAGGAGAAAATATATTTGTATTTCCTGGTATATAAAATTTAGAATGGGAATTTGAGAGATTGGTTATCTCTGGGAAGAGAAACCTGGTGGCTAGGAGTAGGAGTCAGATTTTTATGTCTATCTTCTCCCCGCCGCCCAAAAGCTTTATTGAGATGTAATTCACACACCACACGATTCACCCATATGACGTGTACACCTAGGTGGGTTTAGTTCATTCGCAGAGTTGTGCGGTCATCGCCACGATCCAGTTTAGAACATTTTCACCACCCCGAAAAGAACTGTGCCTATTAGCAGTTACTCCCTATTTCTTCTCAAAGTCCCCCCAACCCCAGCCCTAGGCAGCCACTCACCTGTCTTCTATCTCTATGGATTTGCCTATTCTGGCCACTTCATATAAACGCAACAAAAAAAAAATCCGTGGCCTTTTTTCATGTCTGGCTTCTCTCACTTAGCACGATATTTTGAAGGCTTATCTATGTCACAGCATGCGTTAATGCTTCATTCCCTTTCAGGGCCGAGTAATATTCCATTGTGTGGATGGACCACGTTTTATCTACCCATTCATCAGTTCATGGACGTTTGGGTTGGTTTCACTTTTTGGCTACCAGGATATCTTTATATACCTCTCAGATTTTGAGCCATGTGAATGTATTCATATTATTTATCCAAATACATAAGTTTAAAAAATTACTAAAAAGCTACCTCCTTGAAGGGGCCTCCCTTGACCTCCCAATCTAGACTATTAGCCGTACCACTCTCGGCACACTGCCCCATCTGCTACCCATCTAAGATGCTCCCCTCCATCAGAATTGTGTCTGGCTTGTTCACCACCATGCCCCGTGGACAGAACCCTGCCAGGCACAGGGCAGGGGCTCAAGAAATATTTTTTGGAATTAACACGTACTATTTTTATCCCAATTTTACGGGACAGGAAATGTAGGCAAACTGGCTACATCTGATTGGCTCAAAGTCATATCGATGGAGCTGGGATTTAATTCGGCTCCTCCTGATGTAGTGCCCATTCTTTGGCACTACATCCTTAACAACCCCCCACGCCCCCCATCCCCGCCTCCCCAGTGAGCCTAAATAGGTCTAGGTGAGGCCTGGGCATCTGTATTTTCTTTTCTTTTTTTAAAGATTTTATTTATTTATTTTGAGAGAGCAAGAGTGCAGGGGGAGGAGCAGAGGGAGAGAGAGACTCTCAAGCAGATTCCGTGCCGAATACAGAGCCTGATTTGGGGCTCGATCTCACCACCCCGAGATCATGACCTGAGCCAAAATCAAGAGTTGGACACTTAACCGACTGCATCCCCTGGGCGCCCCTGGGCATCTGTATTTTCTACTCTAGGTGCGAGAATTACAAAATGAAAGAGTCTTGGTTGTCACCAAAGCATTGCTTGAAAATTAAGCCATAATGAAATTATTGTGGGAAGACACATGGAAACTAAGGGGCTGGGGGTGGCAGAGGCCAGGTGAGCGTGGCTATGAGTTGTGGAGGGGACTTACCTGGAGGTCTTCTTCGGACAGGAGGATGATGCTGGACAGATCTTCTTTCAGCTGCCTGGCCACATTCTTCCACTTCAGCCCTGACCCACTGTCTGTTTCATCCACATCAAAGGACTCTTGGGAAATCCAAGCTGTGCCTCCATCTGACATGGGGAGAAGCAGCCAGTCACAGGCAACCTGAGGTGCTGTGTTCACCTCCTCCTCCAACATACAGGCCTCGGACTGGCCATTTAGGATAATTTCAGTGGTGAAGGAAGAGCCTTTCCTCAGGGATTCATGGGAAAGCCAATCCTCATCTAGGACCTACATTTTCCCTTCTCTTCCACCCTGGATTTATTTCTGTGTGGAACTGCTCTGTATCCTTCTTACGGAAAGAAGCCACTTTAAACCTGATGCATGGTCATGCACACCCAGGATCCTACCACACTTCCCTTTAGGTGAGTTGTTGTGTCTCTGTGTTCCATTTCTGTATACAAAAACATTCACTGTCACCAGCACTTCTCCTGTGCTTGGGGATTAGTCTTATCCTTGACTGGAGGAGCTGTTGCCACTGTTTGCTGTCCCCGTACTTTGGAGCACAAAGGTGGCTGGCAGAGCCATTGCTGAAGGGTGACTTCCTCAATTTAGTGGCATGGGGACTGTCTTCAATGGGGACACTTTTTTAGCCTTTGGTCCTTGCTCATCAATATTAGTTCCCTTTGTATCTCCAGTAATGATGATGGGGTAACATTTACTAAGCCCTTTCTGTGTGTCAGGCAAGATCTAAATGCTTTTTATCAGTGGTTCTCAACTGGGAGTGATTTTGCCTCCCCTTAGAAGACATTTGACAATGTCTGAAGGCATTTTTGGTTGTCACAACGGGGGTAAAGAGATACTACTGGCATCTAGTGGGCAAGGGCTGAGGTTGCTGCTAAATATCCTGCAATGGACAGGACAGCCCCCACAACAAAGAATTCTCCAGCACGAAATGTCAGTAGCATTGTCAAGAAACCCTGGTTTGATATATATTATGTTCTATCAGCCCTACAACACCCTAAGAGAGAAAGGTACTATAATTATTACCTCAGTAAGGTGCTAAGAAGTTAGGTAACTTGCCTAAGGTCACATGGCTAGTAAAAAATAGTCTGGAGTGAAACCAGGCAGCTTGACTCTGCCTGTGGCACTGATCTCTCTGTCATACTGCATTTTAGTTACTGTTGGTCTGTGAATTATTTGAGAACTGGGCCCGCGTCTCATTCTTTACCCCAAGACTCAGCATCACGCCTTGGCATGCAGAAGGTGCTCAGTAAATGTTGGCTGCATAGATGCTGAACGAGACAAACGGCAACCAGTACCTGTGCAGTAAAATGAATCATGGTGGATGCTGTATTGCATAGATGACTTTATATGTGACCAGAGTTTCTTACCTGAATTGCTGTATGCCCACTTCTCATTATTGGCCAACGCTACAAACTTAGTATTGGAAGGTAGGCACAGGAAGTAATCGTCATCATCCACAATGGTGCCATCCTCTGCCAGGACCAGGGTGACTGGTGCCAGGGACTTATCAATGGCCAGAATGTCACAGGCTGAGAGGAATAAAATATTTGGCAATTGACAAGTATCCATAAGGAAATTACATCTGTCCCTGTGCTCACTATATATATGCTCCCAGAGCATAGCAGAATTCCTGGTAGTTAACAGTAACTACAATAACAACTACAACTATTAGCACTAATATACCATTTCCCACATGCCTGGTACTAAGTACTTTTTGTATACAGTATTCCCCTAAAAATCCTATAAGGTATCTACGATTGTTATTCCCATTTTACAGATGTCAAACCCAAGGCTCAGGGAGGCTAAGTAACTTGTCCAAAGTCACACAGTAAGTGTCAGAGCTGAGATTTAAACCCACCGCCTGACTCCTGAAAAAGTTTCCTCCAGCTGCTCTACCTCCACATTAGAAGGCCCTCCCATCTTTACTTGGATGAAAAACAAACCAAAGTCTGATTTGATTCCTTGTGAACGAGCAGTCTTTCATTCATTTACTCAGTGGTCATCTTAAATTCTCCTGTGTCAAATGTTGAAAGAAAGAAAAGCAAGAAAAGAAAAGAACAGGAAAAAGGAAATGTGTTGTGTTCTTTGAAGCATCGTTCTCTGCAGCCTTTCTAACCTATAGGAAGGCACAAGAGAAGCAGAAGTTTGTATCAGTAGCTTCTCATCTTTATTGTCAAAGGGCAAAAAGGTTTGTCCAGGGCAGATCTGTACCATCCCATTTAGTGATGACAAAGTCTAAAATGCAAATGGGATGAGAGTGAGCAGCAAAGTAGCCACAAGACTAGGTATATGGTTGGGCAATGTTATCCAGCACCCAAATAGAACAGCAAGCCTTCCAAAGGCTGAGCTCCAGAGAACATAAACACACAAGCTTCTGTGCCAAGTGCACCCAGCCGATGCACAAAGGGGAACTAAAATTCAAGTACCCTAATGCCAAGGAAAAATATGTGAATGTTGATATGGCAAAAACGATCTCACTAAAGCATTTATAATGTTTTGGCTGCTCCTGGGTCTCTGAAAGATTTCTGTCTGGTAATTTTTGGGTCTTGGTGACTCTGAGAGGAAGCCCACTGAACCCTGACACCCCCTTTGACTACATTTCCGGGACCGCTCCGCTCACACCTTTAGCCAGTAGAACTTCCGTGGATAAACAATTTATTGCTACCGGCTCATAATACTTGTAAGTCTGTAAATATATCATCTGCTTTGAGAGTTCCAACAATCCTGTAAAGCAGGGCTGGAAATATTATACCCATTTTGCCGATGAGAAAACTGAGGGTCGCGGGCTGCTTAAGTACAAGGTCAAGCAGCTAGCAAGTGTGGGGCCGGGATTCAGAACCCCGGTCACTCACAGCACCTGCTCCTTGTCTGGAATTCCAGAATGGTCGGCTCTCTCTTCGCCGCACAAGTGCCTGCGAGAACTGACGGTGAAAAGGCGCTCCCAACCCGGCCGGGAGCTCAGCCGGGGGCGCCGGTATCACCGTACGGAGCCCGGGCGGCTGGGTCTGGTCCAAGGTCAGTTATTTTAGGCGAGGCACCTAAGTCGAGTCGGTCTTAATTTGCGTATTGATTCCCGTCTACCTTCCCACCATTAGGAGTCTCACACGAGATAATCGCTATGCCCACGTCGGTTATTTCCGTCCCAAGTCGCTCGTGCTGACCCCGCCTTGCCCCCGCCAGACATCCTCACCCGGCCCGGCTCTCCGCAGCCCCGGCCCGGGCCCCCACAGCCTCCGCCCGCGTCCCGCGCCCACCCTTGCTCCTCAGCTCCTCGAGGCAGGAGGCCGCCACGCCGTGCTGCTCGCGGCTGTGGTTGCGGCGCAGCAGACACGGCTTCAGGGCCCGCGTCTCAGTCTCGGCCTCCCCGACCACTTCCATCCTCTGCAGGGTGGGACCTGACTCCAGGAAATCAGGGAGGCTCAGCGCGGCACCTTCCCCCCACCTGTGGTGTGCCGGGAGGTGTAGTTCTCTTTGTGGCAAATCACGCGTGGGACCAAGGCACGCTGGGAGATGTAGTTCTGGTTGTCGCTAATCACGTATGGCTCCGGGGGCATGCGGGGAGCTGTAGTCTCTGGGTTCGAAGCCGACTTCGTTATGTTGCTCAATACGGCCCCGGGGAGTGTTTTTCTACTTTGTATTTAGGAGTTTCAGTAGCGGGCTCAAAATGAGGTCAATAGGGATTTGTTTTGCATTATGAAAGACACGCATATATACTACCTTGGGTTTTCAGAGCACTCTTGTTTACATATATAGATGCATAATATTGATACTTAGATGAAACAGTCTGTCATTGTACTGTATTAATTTGTTTTCCCTGTCCAGACTGAAAAGATCTGTAAGATGTCCCAACCCTCAGGATAATCTGAAGGAAGTCAATTTTAAAAATTGATGAGTGTAGTTTTCAGTCCTGCTGAAAATGTAACAGAGAAGCATAAGCTACTCGCACATTTCCACCAGTTCGATTCCCTGCTTTAGTTGTGCAAATTGGGTTGGGATCCCGGAACAAAATGCTTACCTAACTAGATTAAACATTAAGGTCTCAAAGAAATTAGAGGGGAAAGGGAAAATGCGAACCACATCACTGTTTGAGATTGTCCAGATGCTGCTTGGCAATAAATTCATCTTCGTTCTAATACTGCTACCTACCCCCTCTGAAAAGAGTTAACATTAAAATAATAATAAAAAAATCAAAATGGTTCCTCGCTTAAAAGGTGAGGGCATATTATGTAAAGAGAAATAGCCCATATTCATACAGTCTCTTTCGTATTTTTTTTTATAAGAAAATAAGATATTATCTCGTAAGAAAAGGGTAGGCATTTAAAACAGTGTTTGGTAGGGGGAATTGTTACTTGAGGCAACCCTTTTGAATACTCCATACATAATCAATCAAAACCCAGCTGCAATACAAACTGGTAGTTCTAATACATGCAATCATTTCGTGTAATTTTATACTTAGCTTAAAATCTAACAACTCAACTACTATAAAGTAAGAATGTGGAAGCCTCTCCAAAAAGCCCCGTTCAGTGTCCTCCTAATAGATCTGCAAACCGTTTCAGACTCCTATCTCCAAGATGCTGTAATTGTGTGTGCAGGAGGTGAGTCTTGGATCTTTTTATTCCTGGCGACTACCAAAGTGCCTGGCAAGTAGTAGGTACTCAACAAATGGTACTGAACCGAACCATTAATTAATTAATTTCCAAGTTTCTTCCCATTTATTAAAGACTTAGCGAGTCCCTGCCTGTGCCCAAGGCCCCTTGGGGATGGGCAGAGATTTAATTCAGTGAGAATAATACACATCTAAAAATGCAAAAAGGACGGACTTAGGATCTTCCTGGCCAGCGGAGACCTAATTGGCAATAGTGCGAGGTGACCCAGACGTGGGGGTTCGCTCCGCTCCCTGCGTGCCCGCCATCGACCGGCTCCGTTCCGGCTACTTTGGTCTGGGCTGGTGAGCGAGAGCGAGGGCGCTTGGGAGACGCCTCGCCCGGCGGCGATAGATTAGTTAGGCCTCAGAAAGATGGCGTCCTCGGAGCAGGCAGAGCAACCGAGCCAGGTAAGGGGAGTGGGACTGCTCCGCCGTAGTGGCGGGGACCCTGGCTGGAGGGGGCGCTCGGCGTGCGGCTGGAAGCCGGGCGGGGTCCCTGAGCCTCCGCAGCCGGTGGCCCGGACCTCTTGCCCCCTCCTGGGCCCCGCCCCTCCTCAGGTCCTCGCCGCCCGGCCCCTCCCCCGGTGACCCCTCTTAGACCACATTGCCGAGCCGGGGCCCCGGGGCGCCCGTGGGCCCCCACTTCCAGCCTGAGGGCCCCTCGGGCCCCACTTGCGCTTGGCCGGGACGGTGGCAGGACGCTTGAGAAGCCTTCAGCCCTGAGCTGTAAGGGCCCCTGCTTGAGGAGAGATGGGTGAGAGGCTCGATCGTTTTCAGTTGTCCCCTCCCAGGAGGGCCCCGAATCTGTCAGGGTTCCCACTCTCCCACAGCCTCAGCCTCGCTGAAGTGGCCCCACGCCAGCCTCTTCGTCACCTTTGTGCTTTCTCTGCCAAATTGGAGGGTCGGAAATGTACTCGGATCCTCTCAGTGCGTTGGTAGGAAGGGGTCTCACTTGTAAACAACAGACGCCACCAGGCTTTTGGTTGAGGATCCATCCTTGCTACCCAGAGTTTGGTTTTCTCGGCCAGAGGACTCCGCTCTAGCTTTTCAGCGAAATCCCGCTCCGTTAAGGGGACCTTGAGGACCAGTGGTCTTGCCTGTACGTCTGCTGTCAGGAAGCAGTAGATGATAAGGCCCATGAAAGGATTTGCAGTTCAAAGGCGGGGTGGGCTGGAGTGAGGTGGATGGGGTAAGCGGTACCTTGTATTTACTGAGGGTGTGCTGTCATGCTGGGGACAAATTAACGTTAACTCTCTCCTTTAGTGCTCATTACGACCTTTGTGAAAATCAGGCAGTTATTAACTGCCATTTCACAGAAGTGGATGCTAAAGGTCTGTGACATGGCCGAATTCATGTATCTGATTGGGTCGGGATTTAAACCCAGATGTGTGTGGCTCCACTAGTTTAGCCACACATGCTTAAATTTAGTTAGGATTAGTGAGAGGAGGAAGAAAATGGTTCCAGTCGGGACTTCCATCATTCATCTCTCACCTCCTTGAAACACCTGTAGACTTCACAGCCTACTGGTATTTCACTTCCTTCCTTGGCAGAAGAACACTACTTCAAGTTTCTTACTGTTTTATTCTTCATGATAAGCCTGTTACAGGAATAGCGCTTAGAGGAGCTGTGTGTTCCCCAGACCAGCTTCTGTTAGCAGAGTGAGTGATTCAGAAAGATATCTGGATTGTAAAATAGGGGAAATAATTAGGACTGATTCTGGCCTTCTCACTGTCAGAAATTCTGGACTGTGGGAGTGTCTCAGAGGCAGGGCCCTCCTTTCTTGCCTTAGCCCACTTAGCTTGCGGAAATGCTGAGGCTCCTCAGAATCTGGACTTTTCTGAACTGTTATATGTTAGGAATGCCCACAGCCTGGGATTAAAGGTACCTTCCATCCCTGATTCTTCTAGGACTTTTAATTTGTCAGTGCTGTGAAGGTTACTAAAAAGCTTGCCACTTGGAGCCATTGTAGTGCCCAAGGATTCCCTTGGTTCTGGAAATTGTCCTCTCGGTACATGTGGAAGGGATCTAAGGTCCTTTGAGGGGGTTTGGCCAGCACTTGTTTGGTTTTCAGCTCTGCTTCTCTTTTGCCCTCCTTTCCAAAGCTGGTAGAGTTGGGATTGCATCAGAATACGCTGGCAGTTTTGGGAAAATTTGAGCTCTTCATGCCAAATTCTGTCACTGTCTTAACAATAAGCTGCAAATGCACACTTATTAAGTGAACCATCTCTCTTCAGCAGTTGCTTGTCATTTTATTTTCAAATCCTGATCTACTTGGCTTCCCATTTCTCTAGTCAAAGCAGAGTGGAATTGAAAGAACTATTTGGATAATTCCCCGTGAACCTGGTCTGTAAGAATGAACTCATTTTGCCTTCGGGGCTGAGTTAGTATTTGTTTCATAGAAGGTCTGTGGGTTGGCCTTGTAGCCTCAGTCTCTCATTTTGAAAGATACAGGGTGATAGCCAACCCTTTCTTCCTTTGAGAGGCAATGTAGAACAGTGGTATGGGCTCCAAAGCCATCCCTATTGGTTTAGAATCCTAGCCCCACTACTTGGAGCTGTGTGATCTTGGACAAGGTACTTGACTTCTTTGGCTTTAGTTTCTCCATCTGCACAATAGGAATGATACTATTGCCTATCTTGTAGGATTTCTCTGAGGATAAGTAAATTAACTTATTTTACTCTATTTATTTTAAAGATTTATTTATTTGAAAAGAGAGAGTGCATGCGTGTGTGCAATCAGGGGAGGGGCAGAGGGAGAGGGAGAAAGAGTCTCAAGCAGACTCCCTGCTGAGCGTGGAGCCTGATGGGGGCTTGATTCCACGACCCTGAGATCATGACCTGAGCCCAAACCAAGAGTCAGTCGAACACTTAACCAATTGAACCACCTAGGCACTCCTAAATTAACTTAATTTTAATTAATTAATTAATTAATTTTCATTTATTCATTCGAGACACAGAGAGAGAGAGAGAGAACATGAGCAGGGGGAGAAGCAGAGGGAGGGGGAGAAGCAGGCCCCCGCTGAGCAGGGAGCCCGATGCGGGGCTCAATCCCAGGACCCTGGGATCATGACCTGAGTGGAAGGCAGATGCTTAACCATCTGAGCCACCCAGGCGCCCCTAAATTAACTTAATTTTAGAACAGTGCCTGACATAGTGTGTTATCTGTTATTATTGCATTCATTAAATTCTGGATTTCCACTCACAAACGAGAAATCTTTCTTCAGGCCTTATTATAATGTTTTTTTGGGGGGTATGATTTTTCACATATTGACTACCAGCCCACTAAAGTTGTTCTTTTATTTGTTCTCGAGTAATTTCCTTCCAATTTAAAGGAAAACCCTGAATGCTGGTGTTTATCTTAGCTGTCCTTTGTGACTTTTAGATGTCAGTGACATACTTGCTTTATTCATCATGGTGTTCTTTTTAGTTTTTCTTCAAGATGGTCTGTTGGAGTTAGAAATCACATGCATTGCTTCCTCTCCTTGTTCTGTTTTCCCCATGTTACCCTTGTTTGCGTGGTTGATCTCTTAGGAGAGGCCCTTGTAGTCTGGACATGGTATGGCCCATAGGAATGGGAGCTGTTATCCCTATTTCTGTACTTCTCCACCAGTTATCTTCAATGAAGAGCAAAAGTGTGGTTCAGTCTGATTATTTAGTGCTTATTCAATATTGACTATATTACGGAACAGAGATTTCAAATCTGTTGAGATTCCCTGGATATAGTACATTGGGGATTGAGAAAACGCAGAAGCAGGGAAGGGAAAAGAACACAGCGAAGACATTAAGGACTAGAAGAGTGTGGCCTTGTGTCCTGACAGACCTTGAACTCCAGCACTCACTTGCTATTGGACGTGTCACTCCACCTCTCTGACCCTGTTTTCCCCTTTGTAAAATAATAATTACCCCAGGGTTGTTCTGAGGGTTGACTGAAATCGTGGACGTAAAGAGCCTCTGCTGCGCAGTGTTCAATGAGTGTTCGTTTCCTTCTCCAAGAATCTATGGGCAGCTTTGGAAGTCTGTGAACTCTTGAATAACAGTAGTTCAAACGAGATATTTCCCCCCTCAACTTTTTTCTATTTTGAAAATTTTCCAACCTTTAGAAATGTTGGAAAAATAATACAGAGAACTCTTGTAAAACTCTTATAAAAACATCAAGATACACTGTTTACATTTTGCTGAATTTGCTTTATTTCTGTCTCTTTACATGTATTTTTTTAAAGATTTGAGAGTGAGTTACAGACATCACGGTGTTTCATTCTAGGACAGCTAAGATAAACACCAGCGTTCAGGGTTTTCCTTTAAGAGTGTCCTAAGAGTGAGGTTATTCTCTTATATAACCGTAATACCATTATCATACAAGAAATTCAGTATTGATAAAATACTATTTAATAATACAGTCCACATTCATATTCTCCCAATTAAGAAAAATCCAAATCCATTCAAGAAATAGGGATTACAGGGGCACCTGGGTGGCTCAGTCATTAAGCGTCTGCCTTTGGCTCAGGTCATGATCCCAGTGTCCTGGGATCGAGCCCCGCATTGGGCTCCCTGCTCGACGGGAAGCCTGCTTCTCCCTCTCCCACTCCCCCTGCTTGTGTTCCCTCTTCTGCTGTGTCTCTCTCTGTCAAATAAAAAAAAAAAAAATAGGGATTGCATTGATTTTTCTCTTTAGTGTGCTTTAATCCAGAATGATCCCCTAGTCTTTAAATTTTTTCTCTTTCTTTTTTTTAACTGAAGTTTAACATATACCCAGAAAGCACACAAATTATGTGTCCAGCCTGGTGAATTTTCACAGAGTGAACATACTTGTGTAACCAGTACTTATATTAAGAAATCAAACATTACCAGGACCTCAGAAGCCCCCCTAATATCCCTCCTGTCACTGTCCAACCCCCTAAAGGTTGCCTCTATCCTAACTTAAAATCCATAGATTAATTTAATAGCTTATTGAGCGACAAAGTCCTTATGGCCAAAAACTTTACTGTGGAATTCTAATAGGTGTGTTGTGGTCAGTTTAATGAGTTTTTACAAATGTACATACCTGTGTAACCACCACCACAACCAAGATCAAAACAATTTCAGTTTTCCTCAGTGTTCCCTTATGCCTCAGTAAATCCTAGCCTTTGGCCTCAGGAAATCTGAACTGCTTTCTGTTGCTATTGGTTATATTCGTCTTCCCTAGAATTACATATGAATGAATTCATAATGTATGTATTCTTTTGTGTCTCACTTCTTTTGCTCAGAGTAATGTTTGTGAAACTTACATTGTTGTATCAGTAATTCATTGCTTTCTCTTAGTGTGTAATATTCTCTTGTATAGATATACCACAATTTGTTGATCTGTTCACCAATTTATGGACATTTGGATTCTGTTGATTATCTATTGCGGCATAACAGTATTACAACACATTTACACAAATTACCAAAAAGAGCACACATTTTTTGTTTCAGTTTCTGTAAGGACACAGTTTAGCTGAGTCTGACAAGGCAAGAAATCAAGGTGTCTGCTGGGGCTGTGATCTCATCTGGGTCTTGACTGGGGAAGGATCTGCTTCCTAGCTCATGTGGCTGTTGGCAGCATTTAGTTCCTTATGGCCTGCAGAATGAGTACCTCAGTTTGTTATTGGCAGTCAGCCAGAGGCTACCCTCATTTTTTTTTGCCACAGAGGTCTTCCTAACATGGTCACTTGGCTTCCTCAAAGCTAGTAAGGAAGAGAGTCCCTTAGCAAAATAGACATTACAGTCTTACAT